AGGGTTTAGGGCTTAGGGTTTAGTCGTGTCCTAACGACGACGATCTACAACTGTAACCTGCCTGCTGGGACCCCTCCATGTGGGTGAGCCAATCGCGGCAGTCCACGTACTTCCTTGTCAACCTTGGCGGGGATGGTGATGTGTTTAAGGCTTGGGCTTTCGTTTAAGGTCTAACTCTAGGATCCTAATTACCTAAGAAAGCTTCTGCCAACGATTCTACTCGGACTTGCTGGAACCTACTTGTTGTCCAGAGTTTTCTGGTAGGCGCTAGGCTAGAAGACAAAGAGACCTCCAAATACGGAATATTTAATTCTGGCAAGCCCCGCGATTCCCAAGCCCCATGAGAATAGTTTGGGGTGTAGTGTAGGGTTTAACCCTACACCCGAAACCTTACAACAAAGAACCCCTAAGCCTTTAGGGTAGAAATTCCCTTTTCATTCGGGATTTTTTTGGCTTCTCCGGGCCTCCTAAACCCTAAACCCTAAACCCGTTCACCGCTCGACCTTGCAAGGGCGCCGGCCCCGACGGCCGAGAACCCCTGGGTCGACGAGAACCCTTGGGTGCCCCACCCCGCCCGTGTGTTTGAGGGTTTTAGGGTTCAGGGTTGGGGGTTTAGTAGCGTTTAGTATTTAGGGTTCAGGGTTTAGGGTTCGGGTTTTGGGGTTTAGATGTGTGTTTGTGTTGTTCTGTGTGCTTTAAGGCTGTTGGGTTTGAGGTTGTCTAACGGTTTAGGGGTATAATCAGGGAGTTGGGTAGTTTAGGGTTGCACAAGATAGAAAGGCGAAGGCTTACAGTTTTTATGTATATTGCAGGGGTTCAGACAGCATGCCCCTGCCATAGTGTCTTGAAAAGTAGCTGTTAGGTAGTCAGGGTACCAATTTTGGTGCCGCAGTTGCCAGATCCATCCGAAGGGCCCAAACCTACAGCCTCAGTCGCGGCATTCCAAGATTTTTAGTTCTTTGGGTGGGAGATTCCGTCCCGTGCATGTTTGTGTGACGGTTAAGTTCGGTGCCGAGCAAGATTAAAGCCGAGTTGAGGGGTTTTTGTTTGGGGTTCAGCGCATTCTTAGATAAATTGGGGTTTGGGGCTAGGGGCCACGACTGATATAGGAATTAGGATTCAGGGTTTTCGAAAATCTGAGGAGCTGTTGTTTTCTACACTGTTTCGGATTTTAGGTTCTGATGGGTTGATTTCAGTCTGAGAAGTTTTCGCCCGCGGGTCGTGATGTTCAGAGTCCAGAAGTTTCTGGATCTGGTAGTTGAACACTTGTGTTTTGCGGATCTGTTGCTGTAATCTAGTTGCCGCTGTCGATTTCCCTTCAACCTTGGCACCTAACGCTAAACCCTAAAATACCTACTTGTAGCAAAAGAAGCTGTTGGGGCTTTAATTATCAATGTCTTCAGCCACCATGTAAATTACATGGGAGCTCAAAGGACCCATACATGCATAATGTAGGGGCCGGGAATTCCTTATTATAATTATGTAGTATAATGGGCCCCAAAAAACTATTAAGTCCCCCTTTATTTTACATGCATACATACGTACATACATACCGTGCGTCCATCCATTCATCCGTCCATCCACCCATCTATCTATCTATTTATCTGTCTGTCTGTCTGTCTATCTATCTATCTACCCTTTGTCTATCGAGAAGTTCCCATATTTTAGAAGCAATCCGCACACGTTGCACAACAGTCTCAGCCCAAGACACTTCACTATGGGCTGGGTTTTTGCTGGCGATCTTAGCATTTAGGGGTGGCTTTCGCCATCAGGGTTTCCAGCACGGCTGCATGACGCGAAATGGATATTAGGCAAGCACGCAGATTCGAAGCATCACGCGGAAGTTGCAAGGCCCTATCCAGCATTCGCTGTTGTTTCATTCAACTTCTCTGTCGGCCTTACTTTCATCACATGGGCTCGTATGGAGGACAGGAGTATAGGGCAGAGCCTACCACATCATTTCTACCAGAAGCTTGCTGTCCAGCACGGCTCTTCCTTGCTGAGGACACAAAGCCATGGAAGACCCTTCCAAATCCGTGCACAAGCAATACTTGAAAAGTCTTATGCGCATCCTCAAGCCAGGACAACCCTAAACCCTAAACCCTAAACCTAATTCTAAACCCTAAACCCTATACCCGTCATTCAAAAGGGTTGCTGCCCCCAAACCGCCAGAACCCTAAAGCCTGCAACACCGGAGCCTGATGATAACGCCATGCAACTCCGAAGCCCTACCCATAGGCCCTAAAGTAGTTCCTTTTTGGGGTTTATATATAGAATCCTATAAGGTAACCCCAAAAAGGAACTACTATGGGGCCTTTGGGTATGACCCAAAGGGTCGTAAGTACTTATGTAGAAAATTAGTGTTTATAGAATAGGAAGTTTTAATTTAGTAAGATTTGGGATAGTATCCCCCATATCATATATATATATATATATCATACAAATAGGTACTTTGGATCCTTTGGGAAGCAGAACCATTCAGACCTACGCCCTGAGAAAGTTAAGGTCTAGTATTCGGGGCTTCTAGTTAAGCCCGGAAGCCCTAACCCCCAACATGAGCTCGGCGAGTGGCCCCTGGACCCGGCGGAAGTTGCCTTGGGCGCGCAGCGAAGATGCTGCTGGAGGTCATGGGTGGTTAAGCAGTTCCAACCCTGTGGTTTGGTGCTTTAGGATATGGGGTAGAGGGTTAGAACTATCATCATCGTAGTACAATAACAACAGCACTATTAACTGCCAAATCGTCGTTGTGCTTGTTCGGTCAGTGTTTGTTGTTGCTTATCTGTGTGTTGCCACACCTGAATCCTAGCAAAGCTAGTAGATGCAGGGTTCAGCACTGAGCTGAGGCCTTGGAGCTGGAGAAGTCCGAGCCCACCCACCGGAGGCCGAAAAGCTCTGCAGCTCAGCATCTGGACCTCCTCTCCCTCCCCCGGCTGCACCTCCGTCACCTCCCAAACCTGCGCCTCCGACTGCCGCGGCGAGCACGGCCGGTCTTCCGAGTGAAAGCCACAGGCTGCCCAAAGAGGGCCGGGAGCCCGTAGGCAGAGTGGCTCTCCCACTCACAGCACCAGAACGCGATGTAGCGCCAGATGCTCGGCCTGCAAGGATTCCTTTGCAATACCTACAACATTGCGCTAGCCATTGTGATCATCAATGCTAGACGATGTAGCGGTTCAGGTCTACCCGATCCTTACATTCCAGAATATCGAGGTTGGAATCGCTGCTATGCCGGCATCCCTTTTGGTCCCAATACAACAAGAGTGCAAGGTACCGCGAAACTCTGGTCTAATTATGAATGCCCCACAGACATCCACAAGCACATATGCTCATGCTTGTACATACACATGCGCACGCACGCACAGACACAGACACAGACACAGAAACAGACACAGACACAGACACAGAGACACAGACACAGACACA